AGTAAAAGTTTATTCCGTCGTCTACACACCCGAAGAAGGATCCAAAGTCGAAACGTTGTGTTTCTTTTCTTCTCTTTTCAACATGCACTAAACCTTTACTTGTTCCATTGATGAATGTAGTATCTTTTATGTGTTCCTAATTTTTTTTAACGAATTCTTAGAAAGTATTGGACCAAGTACAGCCCAGAAACTAACCTTAATCCTAACTTGAATAAAATGCAGAGCACACAGTACTCTTATGATAGCAGCTCTGAACTGTCTTCCAGTGAAATATAGAATTCAATTTAAAATCCTGTTGATTACATTTAAGTAGCAAATATAATGACCCAGATCTGTTACCTGCTATCAGTCTTACCATGCTTTGAATTTAACAGCTTTTATGAGTGGCTGTACTTGGGTTATCTAAAAGTTAAACTTACAGTAGATAGAAAGGAGAAGTGTTTTTGTGCTCGGGCTCTGTGGTTGTGGAATTCAAAGCCTGAACATTGCATTCAACCGCATTGACTGTTTTTAAATTTAGGGTTAAAACTGAAATTCCTATTTGTATGATATATTGATATTTTACAGCTGTTAACATATTTTTATCCGTTTATACAGTTTTAGCATTTTTGTCATCTGTAGACTTTTATTTTACTTATAGTAAGAAATAATAAAGTATTAATAATACATTTTTGTTTTAACAGCTCTTGTATCTTGATCAAATAATTATAGCAAGTTATGTAAGAACATGAAAAATAAAGGTCACAACTTTTCTTGTGTTTCTTTACTTCTCTTTTCAACATGGACTAAACCTTTACTTGTTCCATTGATGAATGTAGTATCTTTTATGTGTTCCTAATTTTTTTAAATGATTTCTTAAAAAGTATTGGACCAAGTACGGCCAGAAACTAACCGTAATCCTACAGTAACTTGAATAAAATGCAGAGCACACAGTACTCTTATGATATAAGCTCTGAACTGTCTTCCAGTGAAATATAGAATTCAATTTAAAATCCTGTTGATTACATTTAAGTAGCAAATATAATGACCCAGATCTGTTACCTGCTATCAGTCTTGCTGTCTGTAGACGTTTATTTTACTTATAGTAAGAAATAATAAAGTATTAATAATGCATTTTTGTTTTAACAGCTCTTGTATCTTGATCAAATAATTATAGCAAGTTATGTGGGAACATGAAAAATAAAGGTCAACTGAGGAGAGGGGTGACCCATCTAGCCCATTTGGCAGTTGATAGCTAATTCATTGAAGAGTAGCCATGGTAACGGGTTCAACCGTATGGCTGGGAAGCTTGTTCCAGTCTCTCACACCCCTTTGGGTAAAGAAGTTGTTATGCCACGTCCCCGGAGGAATCGGCATTCCACCTCACATTCCATACACAGTTCCACAGTTCTCACACTCTTCCCCGTGCTCAGTATTAAGGTTTTCCTGGATAGAGCTACTCCTAGTCTCATTGTTATTCACTACTTGGTCTTTGGCTTCCTGACCCTGGTTTGCCCTCTGTCTACGTCTCTTGGTTTCGGTTTTGGTTTTGACTCTTGGCTCCCTTACAGATTACGGCTCCGCCTCTGGTTATTTGTACTTTAGCACCGGCTAGTTTACCTATGGCTTTCGGACCTCGGATTGTTCTTTCGACCACGCCTTTTGGAGTTTGCCCTGGTTTTCTGCCTAGGGTCCTCACTACTGATTCCTAACAGAAGTGCCTCCTTGGTACACAAAACCATATTTTTCTTTCCATTCATTTTGAAACTGTCAAGCTTTCCTTGGCTGTGATATTTTTTTTAACTGAAAGCGTTTTAGCTATACATACTTTATCACACTCATGGGTTTCTTAGCGTACTTACAGAATATCGTTGAGAGACAACAAGTTAATGTCATGGCAAGGAAACTAGATTAAACAGGACTGGAAGCTACCATGCAGAGCACCAAGTGGCCCTGATGTGATTCTCATCTCTTAGTTCAGTGTCACACCATTGGCACATCAACATTTCTGCACTTCCTGGATTTACATGGCTACTAAACTATCAAACAAGCAAGATAGGATTAACAGCCACCTCTTGTTTGCAGTCCTTTATAGGGTTCTAATAAAATTCTCAATTGTTTAAACTACACATTCATGATTGACATATTATATAAATTGATTTCTTGAAGAAAACCAGAAAAGAAAGGGATATTGGAAATCTGAAACTTTATATAAGTGTTTTTATATGTACTGTAAATTATATACTAAATGTGTGAGTACTATATCCTGGCATCTTTAGATGTGGAATAACAATATGTTTTGCAGAGAAAAGAAAGCCACAATCAATACCAACAGATACAATAATCACAACATTAAGTTTTCTGTATATGTTTTGCCACTGTATCTTTCAACTATGTCATTCTCTAGAGCTATTCAAAAAGCCAAATTTTTAAGATTCAAAAGACAGCAAGAGCTCTGCAGACTAAATCTAAATCACATTTTTAAGATTGAGGAAATGTGACATGAATGAATTAAAAAGCATTGAAAATTAATACAGTTTAAACTGTAAGAATAAAAAAACTGTAGTAGAATTGATAAATGTAATAGAATTGATTAAAAAAATATATTTCAAATGTAGAAGGTTCACTAGAACCTGGCAGAAAACACAGACCTAAACTGTAACATTATGGACAATCTGAAAATAAGTAATAGGTTTATTCCATGCTGAAAAAAAGGAAGAAAGAGAACACAACGTTTCGGCCGTGGAGCCTTCTTCAGGTGTCACCTGAAGACAGGAGACACCTGAAGAAGGCTCCACGGCCGAAACGTTGCGTTCTCTTTCTTCTTTTTTTCAGCATGGAATAAACCTATTACTTGTTCCTTTGCAGCCTACGCATGCTGACGCAGCTACCCACCTGAACTAATCTGAAAATAATGCTTTCCATTATTCTTAATATCACTGCTTGAAGCTTTGTTACAATTTTGTATCAAATCTTACCCAATCTCAGTTTTTTGTCAGAAAACTGTGTAAAGAAGATACCGCCAGCAGCTGAGTACAGTACAAATGTAATTCTAAACTTGGAGTGCTATCTGGGTGGAGTTTGTATGCTACCCCTGTGTTCATGTGGAATGCCTCTGGGTGCTCCAGTTTCCTCCCACAGTCCAAAGACATATTAGTGGGTTAATTGGCTTCTGAGTAAGATGGCCTTGGTATGAGTGAGTGTGTGTCTGAGTCTGTCCTGCAGTGGATTGGCATTCCACCCAAGATGTATCCTGCCTCACACCCGTTGCTTGCTGGGATAGGCCACCGCGCCTTTGCAACCCTGTATTGGATAAAATAGTAAGAACATTTATGGATGTATTATTGTGATTCAGAAAGGCAGCAAAGGCATTGGGATTGTAAATCTTGAATGAATTTTCCAGAATTTCCAAATCATTTTATTTAAATTGTTTCCCTGTATGGCTATGAATGGCATAATTATCACCATATATTAATATTTGGTATTATATGGTGAGGTTCTCTACCAGGATCTTGTGATTTTGTACATTGTTGTATTAATGTAAGCCTAAACAACATAAAACCTAATACATGTTGTTTTTGTTTTGGTTGCAGATCCTACTCGAGGTGCGTATGATTTGTAAAAGTTCTTAATCTATTAAAATCCATTTCCTAGATTACTTGCAAGTGTTATGCTAGTAGTCTGAAGTGTCTTTTTAAAGTTAAGAGTCATAATAAGCAAGTCATAATCTTCATTCTATCTAGGAAGATTATGACCTCAGAAGAAATGCTAGTCTGAACATTTGTGCGCTATTTATAAATTTCAGAACAATGTAAATTATTGAAAAGAAAAATTCAAAATATATTCAAGAAATTTTAATGGATTTACATTATCATGAATGGGTGTATCCTGCCTTGCGCCCATTGCTTGCCTTATTATGGATAAAGCAGTTAGAAAATGGATAGATGGTATCTTATTGTTCTTGTTCAAGACTGTACCATGGCACAAAAAAAGCTCAGGTCATAAAATATTGGGTATACAGGTAACAGTAATTTGTTTCTTGTAATGTATGTACTGTACCTCTATCCTGATGGTTAATTAATTTAATTGAAATATATACAAAACAATTTTAACTTAATTATTAAACCACTTTGCTAAAATATAATTTTATATTTTTAATTTGCTTAAATTTGTGTAATGGTACTGGAAATCTTTTTTCCAATGTGGTTTTATGTAAGAGGACTAATAAAATTAAATATTTTTCTTTCTTTTACAGATCCTAATCCCCGTGAGTATTTTTTGTAAAATGATTTTTTCTGTGCAATCACAATTTTATATTCGATATTGTATATGACTATTTAAGTCATCTTTACTCAGATCTTTCTTAGTCATTTAAATCCGTCGATTTGTGCAGTTACAGTATGTAGTGTTATATAGTGTTTTCAACATTATAATAATTCCTTACATGTATATAGTGTTTTTTTCTGGACTCTCCCGAGGACTCCCCTCCACCACCACCAATGTGCAGCACCACCTGGATGATTTGACGGCAGCCATAGTGTGCCAGAACGCTCACCACACATCAGCTATCAGTGGGGAGGAGAACAGAGTAATGAAGCCAATTCATAGTTGGGGATTATTAGTAGGCCACGATTGGTAAAGGCCAAGGGGATATCTGACCAGGACACTGGAATAAACACCCTTAATCTTTTCAAGAAACGCCTTGATTTTTAAAAAGACATCAAGAGTCAGGAAGCCAATGCCGTCAGGCCACTCCTGGACTCGCTGTCAGGTGTCCGTCTTTCAAAACTGAGCCCAGATTGGTAGGAGCGTTTGGCTCTTATAGGAAGTGGCTGGAACAGGAGGCAGATACAAGGAATGAACAGAAACAAGAAAGAGCCGGAGCGCACATTAGAGGATGGACTTACGATCGTGACACGACTACACCACTTAGCAATTATAAAGGTTGCTAGGCCCCTTATCAGCTTGGCACAAGCTCTTTCCCTCTCCCAGAATCACCAATGCACTCATAGAAAAGAGAATTATCCTATACAATATCCCATTTATTTCAGTCTATCATTCTACTCTTACACATAATGCAATACAGTCACCAGAGTAATTTACTGAATGAACAGTACAATGAAACCCCATGGAACTCAGTTACCAACATATGTCCTCAGTGAGAAAACCAGAAGCAATTTTCTCTGAAACCAGCTCCGGTCGGCAACCTGGTGTCTTCCATCACACCAAGGAACAGTGAATGAAACTGTACTCCTTAAACTGAAACTCTTTAGGCAGCGTCTCCAGTCCTGGTCTTCCCCAACAACATGGTTCCCTGCTCCCCTTGATTTATCCATGTCCAATCCATGTAGGAGGGGAGGAAGATGATGCTGGAGCCTTCCTCAGCTGTTCCCTGTAGATTCCACAGTGTCAGTGTCCTGTACTAGGTCCAACTGCAGTGATCTATCCCACAAAACTCCTCTTCTAAAAAAAATCCACTTTATGTACTGGGGCTTTTTATTTCTTTAAACAAAATCCCTCCTTCCTCTTTCCCTGGGGGGAGTACTCTTCGGTGTTTTGGTGTGGCTGCCCAAATAAGACTAAGTGTGTCGATGCACACATTGTTCAATCAGTTCCTGTTATCAGTCACACCAGTTTACCAACCTAGGGCCTGTGTCAAGAGGGCCTTTGATCAGTGCAGGAACTCCAAGGTGTAACTGGCAATTCACCTCCAGTGTGCATTATTACTCAACATCACAAAACAGTACTACACATATCTAGATGTGATATCGTGGCCAATGGTCAAGGGGCAAGGGTAGCGGAAAGGCAAACACTCTAGTTTCAAGCTTCACACATTTATAATTTACAGCCACAATGAATCCGACAACGTTATGTATAATCATCTCTAAAGCCACCTTGTTTTTAAATCAACAGACATTGGCATTCATTAATAATGAAATTCAAAATAAATGTCTTTTCCAAAATTAGAAATACATTCTGAGTTGTGACTTATTGTTCTTGTTCAAAAATGTGCTGTAGCCCAAAGGAAGGAAGGCGTGCTGAAAAAATCTTTTCTATATTGTTACAAATATAGAGGTTAAGAAAATAGAAAATACTGAGTGGGATAATCAATAATTAAATAATCAATATTTATATTATTAACAATAATATTTATCCAGTAATAGTATTTATTATCAAATAATAAAGTATAAAAAGATATATCACAAATATACCTGAGCAATTGGTAAAGTTAGAGGTAACAGAGGTCTTTGTTCTCTGGCACAGCTGTGATAGTTCAAGAGTAAAAATTCAGAGGCAAAATGGAATAAACAAATATGTAACACATACAGTACTAAGTAACAAACAACATACAACATACTAGTTACTCTACAAATAAGGTGTCTCAGAAGCCTTGTCCTTACCAACCAGAAAAGCCCAGACTGCTAAGACTGTACGACTATATAGTACCACTGTACTGTAAGTCCTATATAATAGATTTATTCCATGCTGAAAAAAGAAGAAAGAAAACACGTTTCGGCCATGGAGCCTTCTTCAGGTGTTCTTCTCTTTTCAGCATAGATTAAACCTGAACAAGCCAACAAGAGACTTAAACGTGTCTTAAATAAATAAAACAGAATACAACCCAGAGCTAAATCTCTCTTCCTATAAATTTGGATGCTCCAAAGTAAATGGGATCTTTATCATTCTTTTTAAAGGAAATGTTTCCTAAAATAAAAGAATGGCAAGCCCTGTTAAACAAGTTTCAATGACTTGACTGGAATTCTGGTCTTTACGGTTGATTCGAACAAGGACCTCTTACCTGGCACGTTTCTTCCCCTCCCTCTCTCTTCTTTCTCCGTTTCCTCGTCCTTCTTCTCTTTCTCTATTTGTGTTCTTCTGCTTCTACTGTACCTACTGTACCTCTCTTTTATCCTGTGTTTCTGCACTGTTAATGACTAAATGTTCTACCGGAAGTTAATTCAAGTAAACCCAAAGGCGCCTTTTGATCACCTGGTCGTCCATCCATTATTTCTACTGATTGCTCTGGAGCCTAAGAAGTGGCTATTATGACTATTGTAATATCTGGAACAATACATATAATGTGATTCTGTCATGTTTATTCTCAAACCTGTCTGTTTTAGAAAATCATCTAGTTGAAACTGATGCACAACAACTGTAACATAATGATTCAGCCGCTTTTTAAATGGATTGCACTGTGTAAGTTTTTATTTTTGTGTAAAAAAATGAACATTTTTTGTTTCCTCTCCTTTCTAGGTCATAGGCGGTGCTGTAAGTATTTTAGTTCAAAATCATCTGAATGCGCTGTCACAATTGAAATATAGACAGTATAATTCATATGCCTTTTAAAATGTTAACTTTACAAAGCTCTTCCTTACACATGTACTGACATTCATCACCTGTACAGGTTTTATATTTTTTTCAAGTATTTAAATTAATTGCATGAAACCTCAATTCATATATGAATGTTGTATTTAAGGATGAAGTGAAAAATATCTCTCACAATCATGTCTGATATATATCAGAAATGTCACTATAATTTCCAATATACTGTATGTATATAATAAATGGAGCTCTGCTCTGCCCCTGTTAATATTCAATCACTGTGGCTCATGGGCTCCACTGTACCAAAAGACAGATCACTCTGTCTGTCTCTGCCATTGCAAAACTCTACCCTATCTAGATTACAAGGGGGTGAAACCCCTTCTGTGATATATTGACCAAACAGAGCTGTGTTGTGTAAGTTTTTGCATGAGAAGGATAAAACATTTACAAATGTCTGTTTTTTTCTTCTTTTCAGGTGATTTTGGTGAGTTTGTTCTAAAAATAATTGCTTTTTCTGTGCTATACCAATTTAATATTTGATTCATATGTCTATTAATATTGGTGTCTTCATCTTTACAACACACAATCATGCGCTTAAATATGATTATATATCTTTTATTTTTTTCTGATTTGCATGCTATAAAAATGACTGAAAGAAAGAACGACTTAGATTTATATTGTGGGCTTAAAGGTAAAGAACTAATTCTTATTTACTTGTATTTGTTTCATGTAAACATAGAACATGTTTCACTCACATGGTGAGTGAGAACACACACCCATTCTTTCTACTGATTGCAGGAAATATTTTCAAAAAGAAATTGACATTTTATTCCTAAAACAGATTCTGGAGCAAACCATACAACGTACAAGCTGTAGCTGTATTCAAATATTTGAGATTATGTCCTTGGTCCCTGTATGTAACCCTAATTACAGGACTTATTACAGGATTTCTTGAATGGTACTCATAAAAATTTCAATAATAATATTAATAATATCCATCTGATGGTAGAAGGACAAAGCAATGTTCTAAACGGATAAACAAACAAAACATTTTATTTCTATTTTTTCCAGTACCTAAACTTCTCAAAGAATATAGTATAATAATAATCATCCACATTACCACCATCATCACTCTTACACTTACCTGTATATATCACTGTTCTGGACTTTCCACTCAAAGCAAAGTACAGGTAATGGGGAGTCCTCTCCACCATCCAATGTGTAACATCCACCTGGATGATGCAATGGCAGCCAAAGTGCACTAGTACACTCACCACACATCAGCTATCAGTTGCAATGGATAACCTTTAATTGACAATCAGGAGTGGGTTGAAAATCCATTCGCCATCCTGCCCTCCAAAATCCTTTAGGGAAATGCAATCTTATCAAACCTGCATTTTTCCTAGAGGACTAGACTTTAATGAGCAAAATTACAGAGGGTGTAGAAGATTTGTATCATACTAATAATGGTGTTTGTTTAACGGAAGTTCAGGAGAAGGTCACTCTCAGTTCACACTTCCACTTCCTCAGACAGTATAAGTTATCTGACTGAACATGATGCTGTGTGTATCTCAGCTGTCACCCACATCATACTGTACATGCGTCTCCTTCACTACATTCATAAAACTGCAGTGTTCCTCCAAAAGACAGCTCAGCCTATCAATCTTTGTGTAGAAGGAGATTTACAATAGTCCACAAAATTAATAATGTAGTTTTATCTATGAGTAATTATAAGACATTCTAATAATGGGTGATTCTCTTGCATGGAGCTTTTCTACGTTACAGGCACACACTTTTATTTAAAAAGTTTTTAGCTTCAAAATGTTTCAAGTTTCAAGTTGAATGCTATAAAAATCTAAAACTGTATGTCTGCCTCTGCTTTTCAGATTCTGTTATTGGTAAGTATTGTGTTTAAAATTATTCACATTTTGTAAGGTACATTCTGCACCTTAATTTAAATAAATAAAGTTATTTGTATATGCTTTAAAACAGTTTAGCTGGCTTTTCCTGAATTGTTTCATTCTGCTGCTGCTTTTCATTGTGCTTATCAGTATTTAGATTGTAATTTCTAATAGAGAAATCTTAATTAAAAAAATCAAGATTTGGTAAAGGTACAAACTGTTAATTTCGGTTAAACAAATTTCTGTTAAAACTTCTCAGCTGAATTTGACAGACAGCTAAGTTACAATGTTTTAATGCCATTGTCAAAATTTTAATATGATTTATGATTGAGAAAAATGCTTTTTTAAATTTAAATTTGTAATTTCTCACAAGGAAACAACTGCATGTATTAATCTAAAAAAACACAAGTTTGAAACTTATGTTTAAACATGACTCTGACTTACATAAGTGGCTTGATGTCTTCATGAGTCTTAAATGATTTGTAATTTAAGAACATATTTGAAAATGTTATACCCAGTGTCAGGAGTTAAGAACTGGATAGGTCCTTATCCATTGCGCTGTAAGCCTCTAAGGCTTTGCCTGTAAGCAGAGACACTTAAGCAGCAGGCCACTCCTCCTCCGCCCACTTCCAGGTCCTGGCCATGCGCTCAAAATGTAGGAGATAATTTTCAATGTCCTCATCCTGTTGGAAGGAGGGCATTTTGGGCTCCTTTCAAAAAATGTGTTCTGCATGGGCGCATGTGTCTGTTACAGGTGTTGAGTTCTGGGGTCCATTATCCTGTGAAACTGCTCACGTTGCTGGGGTACGCTGTTGAGGTGCTGGTGTGGGCAGCTCAAGTCCACAGACTCCCTTTGGATGTCATACTTCCTGGTGTTGCTTCCAAACCTTAAGGCACAATAACCATGGGACTGCTCCACTCACTGGATGATGGCTCAATCACTCCCATGTCTTGCATGGTCTGAATTTCCATTTTCAGGGGTCCCCGCTAACCTCTCAGGCACTCGATGTGGTCGCAGGCGAATGGGTGTGGGATTCTTGAGGTAGATAGCATGGTGAAGGATGTTGGTTCTACCTGGCTTCTGTGCAAATAGTGCCGGAAACTCAGCAAACACCTGCTGCAATTCAATTCATTCTTGTCCTCTTTTTCCACCTTACATACCATGAATGCAGTGCCCTGTACAGTACCTCGTTCTTTCCACTCTTTAATCAGGTTTATGTGGTACACTTGTTTCTCCTTCCCCTTGTCTGGGTGGTGTACTTCATACGTAACCAGTCCCACTTTACGGAGGATGGTGTAAGGTCCTTGCCATTGGGTTAGCAGCTTACTGTTGGCAGAGGGAAGCAGGAGCAAGACCTTCTGCCCTGGCTTAAGCTCCCGATGGCGAGCGTTCTGGTTGTACCAATGCTTCTGGGCCCGCTGAGCTTCCTTCAGGTTCTCTTGGGCCTCCTCCTGATACTTCTCCAGGCTGTCTCTCATCTGCAAGACATACTGCAGAATGCCTTTCTCAGATGTTGATGCGAGAGTAGCTACCCAGATCTTCCTCAGAAGATCCAGGGGCCCTGGGACCGTCTGCCCATACAGGAGCTCAAAGGGGAGAACCCTGTAGAGGACTGTGGTACCTCTCTGTATGCAAACAGAAGAAATGGCAACCATTTGTCCCAGTCCTTGCCTGTATCAGAGACAAACTTCCTCAGCATGTTCTGGAGGGTTTGGTTGAAGCGCTCAATGATGCCGTCTGTTTGCGGAAGGTAGGGACTGGTCCTGATGATGGTAATGCCATGCTGCTTGCAGAGTCGATCCATCAGTCGAGATGTGAAGTTGGTCCCCTGGGAGTGATGATTTAATCTGGAATTCCTACTCAGGAAAATAACTGCACCAGAGCACTGATGATCTTAGGAGTTGTAATGCAGCAGAGTGGAAAAGCTTTCTGAAACCTAGTGGCATAATCACACATTACCAGTATATTGGCAACTGGCATGGCTCTTCTCCAAGGGGCCCACTATATTGATGGCAATGCGCTGGAAGTGGGTGGAAATCACTGGCAATGGATACAGAGGGGTTCTGTCAGACCTGCAGACAGCACTTGTTTTTTTAACACACAGGACAAGTAGCACAGTGTGCTCGAACATCTTTGTACATTGTGGGCCAATGGAAATGTGAACTGATGCGCCAATAGTTTTTTTGGTGTTCTAGATGACCTGCCCATGTGATTATGTGCGCAAGATGAAGTACTAGTGGCCTACAGCTTCCCGGTATAACCAAACGTTTATTCCCAGTCTCCCCAACATATAGTAAATCATTATCAACAGAATAAACCTCCCCACAGTGAGCCTTCCCACTCTCCACACCTGTTTTTTCAAACAAAGGATTCAAAGACAGGTCGTTATGCTGGAAAGAAGCAAAGTTTGATCTGACCCATCAATGGTAGGAACTGGGGTACCCAAATATTTTGCAATGCGCCGCTGACACCATGTTTTTCTTGGCCCTTTGGTTCCGGCCTCACACAAACTATCATCTAAATCTAGGAGTGGCCAAACTTGCTTTTGCTTGGGGTCTGGTAACCACCAAAAAGGGCATTTGTACATTAGTTGGAGTTTTTGTATAGTTACATTTTGTTTACATTTGAGATCCCTCCCCAAGATTATGTCCTCTGCCAAATCTGGGACAACACCTGTGTTTAATAAATACCTCTTGTCCTCTATTCCCACAGTAAGTTCAGTCATACATTACCATGTATGAACTCTACAGACATTTCAAAGCCAATCCTACTATCCGAAACCATGGACGTTTTCACAAGAGTCATTGAACTGCCAGTGTCCATAAAGCATTTGCTTTCTGACCATTAATTAGAACAGAACAATTAGCAAAATTGTTAATATTCTCTCCACCTTCTTCCCACCCAGGACTGTTATCCTCCCTTGGAACACAACAAAACCCAGTCAGTTTTGGCTTGTGCAATGGGCAGGCATAAGCTTTGTGTCCTGGCTGCTGGCAGTAAAAATAGGCCTGTGTCCTATTTGACTCAACAGAGTTACCTCTGGGCTCCTGGTTGTCTCTGGTCCCCCTTGGCACAGAAGATAATAATTATAATTGCTTACACTTATATAGCCACTCAAAAGCACTTTACAGGTAATGGGGTCTCCCCTCCACCACCACCAATGTGCAGCATCCACCTGGATGATGTGACGGCCGCCATAGTGCGCTAGAACGCTCACCACACATCAGCTATTAGTGGGGAGGAGAGCAGAGAGTAATGAAGCCAATTCATAGAGGAGGCCATGATTGGTAAGGGCCAATGGGAAATTTGGCCAGGACGCCAGGGTTACACCCCTACTCTTTTCGAGAAACACCCTGGGATTTTTAATGACCACAGAGAGTCAGGACCTCAGTTTTACGTCTCATCCGAAGGACGGCACCTGTTTACAGTATAGTGTCCCCATCACTATACTGGGGCATTAGGACCCACGTGGACCGCAGGGTGAGCACCCCCTGCTAGCCCCACTAACACCTCTTCCAGCAGCAACCCCAGGAGGTTTCCCATCCAGGTACTGACCAGGCTCATACCTACTTAGCTTCAGTGGGTTGCCAGTTGAGAGTTGCAGGGTGATATGGCTGCTGGCAAGATGGATGTCATGGGGGACCCCCTCGTCGAGCGTTGATATTTTGCAGAGCCAGCTTGGCTGCTGTTAACCCATCAACTGGATCATGTTCCTTCACCCAGGTCCTGGTGTCATAATGGAGGCCATTTAGCAGTTGTTCTAAAATAATGACCTCACCAATCTGTTCCTTGGTCCACTACTCTGGCCAAATCCATCTTCTGTAAAGGCCCTTCAGGCGGTGATAGGTTTCAGTTGGTAGCTCCCCAGGTGGAATTGAGGACATCCTGAAGCACTGTCTGTAGGTCTCAGGTGAGATGTCAAATTTGGTTAGTAGTGCTTCCTTCAAGGCTTTATAATAAGCATAAAAACTATGCTTAGAGAGTTCTTATCAACAGGAATCCCATCATGCCCAGACTGCTATTGTGAAAATAAATAATGAATTTCTTGATTAACATCAATGTGAGATACTTTAATGCATAACGTCTTCTTCAAAGAAAATGGAAGGCATAATTGGATGTGTTTCTGCATTTTAACACTATGCTTCCTTTTCAACTACTGGAAAATCTATAAACAAAGTACACAAGCAATTTCAATCAGAATAACATTTTGTACTGAGACAACATTTTCAGATAAATTACTGAAAGCAACCAACAACAGTTTAAAAAATATGTTGTGGAGTTTCTGTGTTATGTTCTATCATTTATCGTAATTAATAACATAAGCCCCGCCTTGAAATGAATGGTGTTTCTTTAAACAGAAGTTTAGATGGAGGTAAAAAATCCAACATCATATTTCTGCTTCCCTACACATGCTTATAAGATACCTGGCTGCACATGGAAATGCATACATCTTTTCTAGTACTTGGCATATCATTCCTTCACAGATGGAGGTTTATTATTTGGCATTTCTGGGATCATAATTCACTGTTATAGTAATATATATGAAGACAACTTTTAATAACCTGTGTCTATTTTTTCTAGGTTTACTGGTTCTGTTGTGTAAGTTATTTTTTTATTTATAATACAGATTTACTGATTGACTGGAGGCAACAGTACATTAACACTGCATTAAGATAAAAGGGAATAATATAGACACACTGGCTGACTGAACACTCCAGTACATGTACAATGCATTGATGGAGAAAGGTAGTACAGACTTATTGATTAACACTAGCTAATCAACACATTTCCTTTGTCTTTTCTTTCACAATTTCACATTACCCCCATTATATACTGTATCTGGACTGTATGTTTTACCTGCATTCATGTTTTGTATGAACAGTAAGCTTATGGTACATTATACTATAACAACGCTAATTATAAATTAATCCTTGTTTTTTTTTTTCCCTCAGTGGAGGAAAAGT